TTTTTTTTAAACCCAACACTCTTCAGAACCCTAATGTAAAACATAACTCAGGGCTTTGACAGCTATTTAAGGCACTCCTCTTCAGGGGCAAGGTGAAAGAATACTTAAAGACAGGAAGGAATGCAGTTTTCTCATGTAATTGAGCGCTGATGGGAGAGCGCTGGGTGCAGTCCTATCGCTGCCCTCCCTCAGTCACGGTCGCTTTCCTTGTGGCAGCGAGAGGAGTCACAGCTGTCTCTGCGCTGACGACGCTTCACCTCCTAAAGCACCGGGCCAACGGGCCTTTTCTTCCCGACAGGGACAGAACACTGAAGGATCCAGCGCCTTGAGTGGCGAGCAGGACTGGCCGTGAGTCTCTCCTGCCACAGGCAGTCGCAGTGGAGAGTAGCTGTCCCTTCACGAGCCTCCAGGGCTCAGAGGCTTTGGCAACAGTTGGATAAACAACACTTGGTCGAGGAGGATTCTTTGAAAGGGAGGCACCTGACAGGGACTTCAGAGATAAACCTGGGGAAGAGTTAGGGAAATGGGGCTTCTGCTCTCCGTTCATATGTCTTGTCTCCCTCTCTCTGATTAGATTTTCATTCTAGTGTCCTAATGGCAAATGAGTATGAACTTGGGTGATTCTTACAAAATAAGAACCCCAGCCCCAACCTTCAGGTGTTATTAATGCTCTAGAAGAATCCCTGGTCCGTACACGTGTGTGTACTCCCAGGGACACACCACCCCAGCTTAAGTAGTTTAACCTAAGGGGGGACCCAGCTGACACTAATAACATACAGTTTAACTCTGCTATCTTTTCCGTGAGTTTGTGTGGGTTGGCCTGCTGAACTGTTCATCTTTGGAAACAGTTCCTTTTCTATATGTGATCTATCTATATTTTAAATCTAAAACACAGCCCACTTGTTTATCAGAGATACACAAATGTCCCCTTAAACAGGGGTAGCCCTGGAATCTCCACCACTCCCTATGCCCATTGCCTTACTTTATTTTCTCTATGGCACCAATTACCACCTAAGGTATGCTTTTTTTTGTTTCCTTTTTGTCTCCCTCACTATGACTGCCAGACTTGGGAAATAAAAATACAAAACACCCAGTTAAATTTGAATTTCAGATAAACAACAAATAATTTTTAGTTAAATATATCCCAAACATTAAATGGGACATAGTCATATTAAAAATTATCAGTTGTTTGTCTGAAGTTCACATTTTATTGGGCATTTTATATTTTATTTGGCGACTCTTTCCTATCGCCATCCCTTCACTGCTCCTCGAATAGAAACTTTGTCTGTTTTGTTCACTTCCTTTCCTTAGTGCCCAGAAACTATTCCTGCCACATAATAATTGTTCTGGACATAAATGTTGGAGAAAAGAATAAATACAGGAGATGCAAATACATTAAACCCACATGAAGATGCGAAATGCTTATAACTCTTTCAATGCTGGGAAACGATAAGACCTATAACCATGGTGGCAAAGACAGCTCTTTGTCTCGGCTACAGCAGGACCCAGGAAAAAGGCGGGAGACGTTAACCCAGTGGTGACACCTCCAGTG